AAAGAATCGCGGAAGCTCATGTGAACAGGCGCGCATAAAATGATCGAAAAACGTGCAAGCTGGAGGGAATCCCGGTAGAAAGTGGAAAGGGACATTTGTAGTGCTGCAAATTAAACGTTGCTGCTGTTTTGTTGTCTTTTTTTAAATCACTGTTATTGAGGGGAGTCTTGACATCTGCTTAAAACCTCAATACAGCTTGTGCAGTGCAATAGAATTTCGGCCGAAACGACAAAATCTTTCTCGAGGTTAGTTACAGGCTGTAGCCAGAGTGTCAGCTCTCAGGAGTTGCAACACCGACATCAGCATATCGTAAGAATTACATACGTCGACCGCCAACGGTAACAGCCCGTGTACTGATAGCAGTAACCCACTATCCCTTTACCTGTGTTCTTAAATCCGAGATCACGATAAACTTCTTCAGAATGTTCTTCGGCAAAATGTATGTGAACCCTGTCTCCTTGATATCATCTGAAGACACGTAGATGTGATTGGTCCTGAGGTGCAGGTTCGTGGCGGAGATGGCACGGACTCGCCACTCCGTCTTGGACGAGAACGTCTGTGTCTCGTAGTTGGAGGTAGTGGATACGATGATTTCATCTCCGTGGATGTTGGTGGTGCGCGTGGTGGTGGCTGTCAGCTGCGACTGTTCCTTGGTCTGCTTCTCGATTTCTGCTATCTGCTGCCTCTGTTGTGAGGGTGCCGAGATCTCCATACCCAGGATGATGTCACGGATCTCGGACTGAGTCAGAGAAGCAACGTTCACACTGGAGAAAGAATAAGGACATGGTGCTATTAGACCGGGGGCAGGGTGCGGTTAGTAAGAAAGTCGATAACAGAGTTGAAAGGTGTTTAAGGATAACTAAAAAGGAGGCAAACTCACTTGTTTTTCTTGCCATAGTCAGCTAAGATGAGATCTTTCAGGGCAACCTACACAACAAAAGGAACAGATAGGAGTAAGCAACTCATATGGACGAACGGACGAACGGACAAAAAAAACTTAAGACTGGATCAAAATCTACCAAAAATACAGCAACAAGCCCACCCCAATGCAATGTTGATTAAAACCGTTTGAACGGACGGACACGAGTGCATTTTGTAATTTTCCAAAATAGAAAGGAGAAAAGGGGCTTTGACACCTTTTTTAGCTGCTATGATCGAAATTCGAAATATTTGCGTGTGTTTCAACTACATGTCATTTATGTTTCGAGGTTTATGGCGTGTAGACATACCTCAACTGGTACCCATTCCTCGTCTGTCAGAGTAGGCCAGATGTGATGAGGCTCAGTGATAGTGGTCTTGTCCGGTTTAAGGATGACCTTGGTTCGGTCAGCGTTCACGTGCAAGGCTCGGAGAATGAGGATCAGACGTGAGAAGGCCGTGTATGATGAGATGGTCTTCAGCCAATCGTCATACAGGTTAAACAGTACCATCTGTGGTTCAGTGGCTTTCAAAATCATGTCTCCGAGCTTCTCAACCTGTACAGGGTAGTAAGACAGAGTGTGTGAATTAAAACTTAAATGATTATTTGATTGATTAAATACAATGTCTTACTGAAGTGCTCTCAGTACACTGATTGTAAAACGCTTAAACATTTTCAAGGAAAAACGAAACGTTAACAGAAGTGGTTGGTGTGTATCAGACCATAAGAAAACTAATGAGCTGATACTACGATTATCAGTTGAGTNAAAACGAAATCCTGATTAAGAACCACATTTTCTCAATGAAAATTACAAACAGTTCAGAGAATTTATACGTCGAGGTTGGGATAAACTGGAAGAACCAGCAGAAAGCTCTGTGTGACCTGAACTGCAACAAATCTTTGTATATGAATGAACATGTCAGCGTTTTCCACTTCTGCCGCTGACTTCTTCAAAGGATGCCCCACCCATCTGAGAATATTTAGTCTTGATATTTCCTCTGGGTAACACTTAGACAAGTTTTCTCGACAAGCATTTTGTCTCTACTATACCTCAAGAGGATCAAGCATTCCATTTCTTGTTACAATGATCTGTTTAGGCTGCTCTTCGACTGGCAGTGAACGAATCAAGGCTGCCACTTCTTCGGCTGTCTTCCACTTGGCCAACTAAAAAAAGAACAAATACGTCATTTAGCCAACACTTTACCCAATAATAAACGTTACCAACCTTTGCAGCCTCACATAAATTTCAACCCAGGCAAACAACACTTCAGATTTAGGCGCAAGACCCACACATTGTTTAGCATCACAAAACGTACCTGTCCTAAACGTTTCTGTCCCGCCCACACGGAGGTGTGGATGATCTTGAGGAAAAGCTGTCCCGTGCGAGGATTGAAGATAAAGATGGCGCCGTTGATTGGCTTTGTGGTCAAGTTACCTTCAAACGTCTGAATAGAAAATAGAGACATCCTTAAAATCAATGTTTGTGCAAGCCAAGTCTAAAAATAATTGTCTGTTATTAAGCGGACACCCTTCAATAATTAAACAGTAAGTCCCAAACTTTCCTTCCCATACACAACTCAAAGCGATAATGTTACAGAATTGAAGTCGACATACGCTATCATTTAACACTTTGAACACCTGCAGCAGTCTGTAGCATCAAACAAAGCCATTCTTTTGTCAGGTCAGTACCCATCTCTGAAAGCAATACCCAAGACTTTTTCAAAGTTTTTTTGTTTTTTCAAGCAATGTTTTTCTTTTAATAGACTCAACGTAATGTAGAGATTGCAATCGTACTCACTACTCTGGGTCTCAGAACCGAAACACTAAGTGACATAGATTTCACAAGATAACTGAAAATTTGTCACAGCTTGAACAGAATTTCAGACTACTTCCAGACATGAATTCCACTTTCGCACTATTTCCCAAGTCTGCCTGGAAAACTAGACACATGTTACCTTTATTTTTTTTAACAAATCGAGACGGTCTCGTTAAGTCATTGCAAAAAAAAAAAATTTCCAACCTCGGTCAACAGGCGTCTAGCCTTACCTTGTGAATGGTCACTCTGTAGACATTGGTGTCGTCCACAAACCAAATGATCTGATTGGAGAAAAGCTCTCCATAGTTCTGTGAAGACAGGTAAGGCTCGGTGGGTTCACTGGAGTACAGCTGAAGACCTTTCCTGATTCGCTCTCTCAATACGTACAGTGCAGGATTGGCTTTCATGATCTTAGCCATGGCCTGTTGGATGAGGGGTTTCACACCAGGGAACCAGTTACCAAAAGCACTGCAAGAAAAGGAGAAAATAACGTTTGTAGCGCTACAATAATTACGAATATCTACTTGTGCATAGTTGACCAGTCCCGCTATCTTTCCGCCCAAAGGAGTACGTGACAAGCCATAAGAACGTCGCTCGTCACGCATTCGTCTCTCCAAATGAATCCGTGACGAGCCCTAGCAACGTCGCTCGTCACGCAATATTTTTTCCACAAAGGAGTACGTCACTGTACGTGATGATTTTTTAGAACATCTGCGCGTGAGGCTAGCTTGGGCATGACTAACATCTGAACACCACTTCTCTTACCTGTGAAGATTGTAAGCCAAGTCAATACCGATGAGCACCCCAGTAGGGGAGGGGTAGATACTCATGTTGTCAGTAGTGTAGTCAAGGTATTTTGCGCGTGCGTATCTTTCAATGTCGTGGGAATCGTAGTCTCCCCAACGGAGCTGTACATCTACCCAGTACTTCTGGGTCGTGGTGCTGTCCATGATGTCACTGCAAAAGACGAACACACTTGAAAAAACAACAACGACAACAAGTAATTATTGATCGAAAAACATATTGGAAAGATGCAAAAGCGCATCATATTTAACCACATTTTCTCGACTCATTCTACTGAACATTTTCCTCCTTTGGGGAATGAAAAAAAAAAAACAAGTATTTATAAAAAGTTCGTTTGGACCCATTTTGCATGAATAAATTTGAATTCAGAAGACCAAAATCACGACTGCTTTAAAAACAATCGTAAATTTTGACACAAGAATGGCTGCAACGTTTGACTGCATTCTGCACACATTTTTTGTACACAATTTTTTCCGTTGTTACAAGTGAATTGATCACATACTTGGAGTCAGCCAAGAGGGAAGGTTTGGAGACGTTCCACTTGTACGCAGCAAACAACAGGATATCGGCGCATGAGCTGTTCATCTTGTAGGACTTACGGGGATGAATGGTCTCCTTCTGAACCGTCTCTATCTCAAGAGCATCTAGTTCTTGGTCGAACACCTATAAAAATAAATAACAAGTATTAGACGTGAATGGATGTGAGATAGTTTGAATCCAACCGGCTTACACATGTAGTGCTCTTTGGCGAGGCACTGTTCTTACATGTACGATGCCCGTCTCCATCCGGTGTTCAGCTCAGCACCTTAAGAAACGAGAAGAAATCTGGGGCGAGTTTCATCTCGCAGTGACTTGTGGGATCGTTACTGGGGTCGGTGTGACTTTGCATCTTTTGCTTTGTTCCCGGTAACAGTCCCACAAGGGATTGCGAGACGAAGCTTGCCCCAGACTTCTTCTCGTTACTAAAGTGGTGAGTGGTAGCCTACAACGCAGGTGTTGGAGTAATACTAGTGCCAGGGTTCTTGCTCTCGTGCACCGCTCCAACCCAATCTCTATTATTACACAAGCGCCTGCTACAGAGGCTCTGCAAATGGTTCATGAGAGTAGGAATTACAATGCTGTTAGAGGTCGAGTTCAGTTCACTGTTGGGATCAGTTTGTTGTTAATTTGGAAATCTCTTCTGGCCAGGTAGCTTCCCTTTGGCTCGTAGTGTTGGTGGGATATAAGTTTAGCATTGGCATTATGGTTGGGGTTAGTTTATTAATGTCCATAGCTCCAGTGTGTGCTAAGATTGAAGTATTGAGAAAAATAATAAAGGCGAACAACTAATGATCTCACACTGTACCTGACACAAGTCCATGACAACACTCTCGTGAACTTTCTGCCACAAGTGAGCTCTGAAGATCTGAATGAGTGAGATCTTCAGTGTTGGAATCTTGCCGTGCATGAAGATTCCTGTCAGGTCAAGCTGAACCTGGAAACCAACGTAAACCTGGAAAAAAGAAAGAACAAAGTTCAGTGATCAATGGGTGCCTAAGTAGTTTGGTACGCGGAAGTTATTATTTAACAAAAACTGGGCCAGGCACCGGGCAAATTGAACAGCTGTGAGGACGATTTTGACCCCCTTGTTTGACCATCTAACGGAAAGTTTTTCTCATAAAGAAGTTAGGTTCAAATAGCTTTGCCTGCCCATGAAAACTAGTTGCCCTTCTACTGAAAACGTTAACGAATCCCCTGTAAAGGGCTCATCAAATCGTTCTTTGATAGCTGCACTTTTACAAGTTGTAACTGTCATATACACCGAAATACAAATAATAGCCTACAATGCAAGAGTTCCCGTACGAATGAAGAGCTTTTTGTGCATTCTGACAGTGCGAAAATTGGGGCGAGAGCAAAACATCAATGAAGGATGGGGAGTTGAGGCCCACCACCACCCCTCCTCCAACTTTCGTGCAACCAGACTTTGCTCATGTTTTCCATCATACGAAATGCTTGCTATGCAGGCTTTACAAATAACTACAGCAAAAGGGCATGATAGCAGAGTGAAAGCCAAGGAGAAGCGTTCTTCAAAATGCCATGACTACACACAGGAGCTAACAAGTTTGCTACAGTACAACTAAAACAACTAGCTTACATTAGCCCTGTTAATTGTCGGTGACCACCAAAGAGTGAATCTTCTGTTGGGGATCTGATTCAAACCAGATCGCTGTGCATTGGTCAGTTTCTTGTACTTCATGGATTCTTCAAATCCACTGGCCTTCTCCCAGAACAGACCTTCCCATGTGGGGAAGTATGTTCCTTTAAAGAGTGTGTGTTCCAGGATACCCTCCACACCTCCAAGGGCTTGGATCATGTCTGTCCGGTAGTTGTTCAGGTTCCAAAGTTTGCCGTCGTGTCGCTGGTGTGTCCACCAGAAGGGATTCTGTTTGAGAACCTACAGGAGAAAGACCAACATGGCTTAGTGATATCTTTCTAATCTTTTCTAATCTTGTAAAATTCTTGAACTAAGACTCAATTCTCCTAATGTAGAGAACAGTATGGAGAATATTAAAGATGATCAACGGAACTAGGCATAAGCCTACAAACCTCCTAGGATTACAACATTATTTCAAGGTTTATTCAATGTCAGATCCAGGTAAAGAGTCACTTTTCTCTTCCACTTTACATACAAGCTATTCAACACTTTCGAGTGGAATACCATGGAAAATCTGATGAGTGACTTGTATTGTCTCACTATACATGCAAGTCTTTAGGCAAGTGAATACAGTGAATACAATGGTCAACAGAATGCAGTGCAGGATGTGAAGGTAGAGTGCAATACCGTTGAGTATACAATGGCTTTCCTGTGTTCTGATTGACTGTATTGTCCGTCGCATGGTATAAATTTTCTTATCCTCGAATCAAACAATTTTAGTCTACCTGATACTGTTTGAAATCTGTTCTAACTCTCCATCCCTTGTCATAGGCAAGGGTGTGTCTGTCCTTTTGAAACAGGGTGTTGATACGAGGGATTCCACGGTCCCATGAGTCCTCCAAATCTTCAAGGGTCAAACGTCTGAGGAAAAAACAAACAAAATCTTTACAGCAAAGACTTCCTTCAGCTTGCAATTTCAACGTAAGTCATAGCTTTTTGTAATCGCAAAATACTAATACATGTGTTTTCTTTCTTGGTCACAGCTATAATTAGGGTATAAACAAAGACGTCAGAGGATATAACAACCCTTGTACATGAATGTAACCACCCTCTCAGAGATGTGGCGTAATTGTCTAGCGACAGATTAAGGGAGAATGTTCAACTCACCTATTCTGAGCATTAGCTTCTTGTCGTTTCAAAGCGTACTCAGCCCAAACCCTCTGAGAGTCAATGAACTCACTCTCCCATGGCTGAATGTACCTGTTGAAACCCCACAAACAAAAAGAGCATAAGTATTTGGCAGAGAACATTAGTGATCACAACAGTGCTGACAAGCAATTCACTACTCATGCTGCTCATGACACTAGCAGAATAAAATTAAACAAAGGTACATATGATTACTGTTTGGCTGCACTACTGACCTCTTCTTCATGTGAATCACAGTTCCGTTCTGAATCTATTCAAAAATGTTGCAACAACTTCAAGCCCAATTAGTTTAATCTAGAGTATTGGTGTTACCTGTACAAGTTAGGGATCAGCTGATCTTTGTCATGGCTCATGCCAGATCTGAAGTGAGTAATCCCTGCGTCTGTTTGTTGTGACCACCTGAAGAACAACGAAACAACATGGGTTAACTTCTGCAGTGCGATCTTCACTATTACTTACTAAGAGAAGGTAGGACTGAGGAATTAAGGACTCCATAACTAATAAAGGTCTTGACCTAAGGTGCTGTTTGAGGCTAGATACTTATCCTTGTCGTGCCCCGCAGGACACTGAAGGCCATAAGTTTTGCCTGCACATTATTATAACATCACTGCAATGAAAATATTCAGGTGATACAACCGAGAAGAAGGCCTCCACATAAAAGAGGAATGCCAGGTGCAATTGTACAGCATTCATTTGTCACAGTACCTGAGATCTGACTGCGGAATGAGAACATGACCCATGGAGAGCATACCAAGGCCACCCAGCTCCTTAGGAGTGTAAAACACGACAGGGGGAAAACGACTGGGCATCTTGGAGTTCAGACCAATCTTGATACGTGTCTGGATCTGAAAGACAACAATGTACACTGTGTCAGACAGGTAAGCTTATACAACAACAACAACACACACAGTCACACACACACAAAAAAAAACAAGACAACACTTTTACACTAAACTGGAAAATTATGTTAATGGCTTGAAGGCTGTAGTCTTAGAAAACTTACAACGAACCCAAAGGTTCCCAAACATGAAATCTGGGGTGCCCGACACTTAAGCTTGTATGACAAAAGTAAGTTTTTCCAGTTGCCCAAAGGCAAAAGTTAGTTGCCTGTGGTGCCTGGGCACTTCTAGTCACTCAGCACAGTCCTGGGCTTGAAACTAACTTTCTAATCCTTGTTTTAAATGACTACCAAAGACATACATGTACATATGAGCATAACCCACTTCATAGTTCTAGCTGCTTGCACACCGCAAAATTTTGGAAGACCTGGTCTCGGATGTCTTGCACAGAAGCTTAAGAATATTTACAAGAACTTAAGGAGGTACATCATGGTTTACACTTCTTGAAAAGTTAAACTTAAATTTTTCAAGTTTGTTGTTTGTAATCCATGTTAGTATTCTCTGTTCTGAACCATCCTTGAACCACCCTTGTTCCTTCATGGTTTATTATTATCAGTTTGGTGTTTTACTATCTAAGTTGTAAACTACTATTTTAAGGTTTCCTTCAATCTTAAGGTACTCTCATACATGTACATGGTCAAAATAACTCCAAATACAGTGACTGAGCTCCTTTAAAGTTCCAAGAAGGACTAATATTCAGTACCTTATTTTCACACTTGACCAGCAAGTCCAATAGTTCCTGGGTGTTGACAACTGATTCCCGATAGTATGTCATCAAGCCAATCAGAGCTGTATTCCATTTGTTTACAATCTTAGTAAAAGTAGTGGAGCCTGATGCCATGAGGATCTGACGCACTCTGTTGTGGAATCTCTGCTGAGACTCATCATCCACCTTTAGGAAGCACTGGGCAGTTCGCTCCTTAGTGACCTGGTGTAGCAAGAACAGAAGCAATAATAATAATCAGTACCTAATTTCTCCTTACAACATCAAAACAGTGATAAATAGACAGGTGATAAGAATAAAGAATACCATCAAGTAGGGTGCCATGCTGGCACAATTTACAGGGTTCACACTCTTTAGAGCTTTTCAAGTTCCATGACTTTCCATGACCTTTCCGAGTTTTCCATGATCTAAGTTTATTATTACATTATCACATTATGACATAATTTTATAAAGTAAAAAAAGTGTGCTTGTGTCTAATTCTGCTGAAATTAATGTCTGTTTCTGAATTGACTGTCATTTCGTCAATTTTTCACTTTTTTGTCTTTTTATTCCCAGGAAACATAATGCTTTTGCATGACTTTCCAAAACCCTCACTTAAATTCCATGACGTTCCAGGTTTTCCATAACCTGCACAAATCCTCAGTTAACCTCGGGTAAAGATAAGATGCACTGCAATCATACATATAATCTTGTACATGTACCTCATTTTGCAAGTTCCATACACCATCCCTATGAGTGAATTCTTCAAACGTTGTGCGGCACTTGGGCAGAATGCGGCATTCAAAGCCACACATGTTGAACAGAAGATTTGGATTGTCTTTGCTGTAGACAGACACAAAGCTTTCATCCCAGCTCAGTGTTGTGACAGATCTAGGCAGGCGGTTCTTAATGTCCCAGAACACGGCACGACCAAGATTAACATCATGCTTCATGAGCCTCATGCGAGCATCCCTAGGCCAGCACTTCCTGTTGTTGTAGCCCACAATGTTCTCATTATTTGGATCAGGGTGCTCTGTTAGATAACGCTGAATCAGATCACGTGCTTCATCAGCTGTAAACCTGAAAAAACAATATTAAAGATTGATGTAAAGGAATATCCATGCTAAAGAAATGTCAGTTGGGATTTAGATGCAGTCCATATTCAGTAGCCCATGATTTTACAGGGATTGACATGCTAGGCAATCAGCATCTTACACATTATTCTTATCAGCATCGTAATTCTTATCACCATCTTAATTCATTTGACATGTGTGTGACTGTTAGCGAGGATATTTTATTTAATTTATATACCGGTATATTTAATTTCTGCTTTGCTTCTAAGTGTTCCACACTATTGGCCAACTATTGGCAAACACAAGAAAATTGTCACCACCATACTTCAGTGTACACTGTACATATCTTATCATTTAAGACACTATTACTCCAAGATTATCCTCCTATCTACGTACATTTAGAGGGGCAAGAGCCAAGCCAAGCAACTTTGAAAACATGGCAAATGTTTATGGAAAATTCCACAGTACACAGGTATCCCATGCATGGGGAGAAGTTGCCTGAACACCATTAGCAGAAATTTAACTCAACTATTTTTAATACTAGGCTCCAATTATGGTTTGTGAAATAACTTTAAAGATTCTTATGCACATGTACATTGAAGCAAAGAGCTATATGAACAGTTACCTGAAGAAAATGTGTACTTTGTCAATGTATCTAGAGTACAATCTGATGGGATGTTGAGCCTCTGTCTGCACATCCTGGAAAGTCAGGAAGTCGTTTGGCATCTGTGGAGGGCCTGCCATCTCACTGGCCCTCTGTAGACCCAACACCAACAGATCCATAACCAGTCCATAGTACTGCACAATGAATGATGCAAACTGAAGACCACGGATGATACCATAGGAGTTTGTGTGGTTCATGTCCTGTTTGTGAAATAAAGGTGGAGAGTGAAGCTTACAAAGTTAACTGTCAAAATCACGAAAACAATTAAAATAAACTGGCACCCACCTTGTAATTGATGACAATGTTGTTCTTGGCTGTCATGTAATCAGCAATGTTGTGATCAACAATCAGTCGCAGAAGTCGATTCAGCAAGGTCAAATCAATCTTCTCGTACATCTTGTCAAAGTTTGACTCCATCATGACATTGCACTCTCCTTCAGATGTCTCCCACACATCCTGCAAGTTGTTGATTCCTGAAAGCAAAACACTTTTAGTTACCTAAAGTGCAAAGTTATACTTAGGTTAAGTCTGCATCAGCGTAGGAGCGTCCGATACTAGCAGGGCTTATCTCAGTTTCTGTAATGAAGGAACTAGGAGTATTTCTACTCCCCCTGGATTGGAAGCTACTCTGTTGTAGGGTAAATACCCAGCATTAAAACAGTCCATCTCTATTTATATACCTGGGTTGTCAACTCTATGAGTAAAAAATCTTCCCCAAGAACACAATGTTCTGTCCCCAACAAGGGCTCACATCTGGACAGGTCAATAGGGAGTTCAGAATGTTAACGTAGGTCACTGCACCTCCCATCTAGCTGAAGAAAGACACCTAAATATATCTCGTCTACACAAAATTCTTGTGACACAAAACTGTGTCACAAGATCTCTTCTAACCTTGGCACCATTTGTAAGTCAACAGTGGTGGAGGCTCTGTGTCAGCTGGTTTTACCCACGGAGGAAACAGACGTCTTTTGTCAGCTTCATACCATAAATACTGGTCAAGGTAGGCATCTGTGATCTTCTCCAGTGGCTCCACATCATACACTGGAATGAGGTGGCTGTACAAGTCCATGAACTCGATTCCAACCTACAGTAGGTATAGGGATTATGGTCTCATTAACTCTGGAACTACCAAAATCACTTCCAGACAAGTGGTCAGCAATTCATAATTTTCATGTGGCTTAACACCTGTCAGTAAGTGGTCTGTTCCAGTAATCCTTGGACCATAACCAGTGTACAAAAGGTAAGGCACATTCTAGGGATCAGAAGAAGCTTGCAGCTTATCAGTAAAAGTGTATTTCTGAGCAATACTGATGCTGAACAACTTTCTGGCATAGAATTTTTAAATTTTGTATTTTTAAGTTTCAAACCACTGTCAGGAATATTTCACTTCTGAATGGCCCAGACTAGTGAGAATTTGCTTTTTCAAGTGCTTACCTCTTTGAATGCTCTCTGTGTGAGCAAGTGACGCTTGATTCTGCTGAGTGCTTCGTGAGGGTTGTCGTATGCTTGTTCTATCAGTCCCAATTCTTCTCTCTGGGACTGGTTCAAACGACTCTTTACACTGAAACACACATTATATTAGACGACAGTGAGATCTCCAAACAAATTCTTCTGGAATCCAAGACTTTACAGTGCATCATGAATACTAGGATTTATTTTATTTTTTGGGACTGTACAGTGTAATGTGAAGAAAAACCAATGAGGTGCGAATGATACATTGTAAATCAAAAACCCTAGTGATAATTATCCCTGTGGTTTAATCTGCCATCTGATTGGTCAAAACACATCTATGTCAAGATCAAATTAAAATGTTTGAAATTTCTAACATTCGGCAAATTGACCTGCTGCGAGGACGATTTTGCCCACCTGGCTTGACCATCTAGTGGAACGTTTTTCTTATAACAAAGTTCAATTCAAATAGTTCTGCCCACCTGTGAAAACCAGTTGCCCTCCTGCTGAAAATGTTAATGAAACCACTAAGTTTGCATGGAATTCAACTTTGAGGGCACAAACCTGTAGGCTTCCTTGAGCCTCTCCAGTGCTAGAATCAGCAGTTTGGTGTCATGCTTGTATGAAAGAGGTGGAAAAGGGATCGGCGAGAACCTCCTACTCTCCAGCCAGTGAACTGTTGTGGTGTAGATAGCAACTGCCTCTTCAGCAGAAATGTATGGACCATCCTGTAGAACAAGTAAACCTGAGATTTGGTACATGACTTTTCTGTGACTTTAATGTCCTTGGCATTCTATTAAAGCAAGCCATTTTCAAAATGGCTAGTGTTCTAAGCATTCCGGCTCAAGCCCTGAGGTGTGCTAGGTCTTATTGAAAGCAAAGTCAACACACCAATTTGATCTTATCTTCTTATGGAAATGTTCTTTAAATGAGATTATCAATAATCAGAGATGACTGGGAGATCTGCTGTTGGCCAGTGGATGGTTGCCATGGGCATGCATAGTTGTGTCATTGCTGCACAGTTTTGCCCTTGTGGTCTTGCTCTGCATAGCTTTGTTGCTTTTGTCTTTGGTTTGGCCCCTCCCACCTGCCTCTTGGTTCATGGTGGGCCCTTGTGTCCAGGTAAGTGTACTTATTCTTCACGGACAATTCAGTGTGACAGGTGCCAGGGGGAGGTGACCCATTGGAGGTTGCCATGGTCACCCCCTTTATTTGCATTTTGCCCACACCCGCTCGCTCATTGCCTGCTTTCCTATCAATTGGCACCTACCCTCCACTTTGAATATTGCTTATCAACAAGTTAACTCAAAAACAAAGCTTATGCACAATTCACACCTTCAGGTAGTTGTGTTGTCTCTCTTGCTCAGCTTTAAGGTAAAGTCTTGTTAGACGACCCAGATTTTTCTTACAGACAGTCTTATCCACTGTGGCACCACGACGGATACGTTCCCTGTTGTAGTGAGCAGTGTTTGTCCACCAATCTGCCTTGGCTTTGACATAACGTAAGATCATGTTTTCCACTGCTGTTGGAAGACCAGGAACCTAACAATAAACGAAAAAGTTACACATCAAGTAAATATGTGCCAAGGTCGTGGCTTACTGTAAAGACCCAAGACAGGCCTCAAATCCCATACCTTGCACCTATCACAACTTACCCCAGCATTTTGGGTAGGAAAAAAGCACTAAGTAACTACAAATGAAAGCAAACAGTTAGTTACCTTCCAAGGAATGTTGGCTTTCCAGCACCTCCAGGCTTCACTTAGATGCTGAAGAATAACACGTGCCTTGTTCTGTTTGATGCCCTCTGGCATCATGTCTAGGATGTCGTGCATAACGGCAGCTCTGAGCTCCAAGTCAAAATGGCTTTCAACTCGCTGCTTGGTGACTGTCTTGGCCACTCCCTTAGAGTGTCGCCCCTCAAACTGCCTGGCCAGAAGGTTGCCAAGCCAACGTTCCAAAAGCGGCACAACACCACGCAAGAAAAAGAGCCACACCCTCCAACCAGGAGCCCAGAATCCACATCCTGGTCCTTTCCCAACTGGTCCCTGCAAGAAAGGTGCATGATTCTCATCAACATTGGTCTTCTTCATTGATACAGAGGAGCCCTGTTAATCTGGCTATGTTGAAATGGTGACCACAAAGGTAGCTTTACTAGTCAAAGATTAAGAATGTTCTCCTAAGCAATATCTTTCCCTTGGCTTTTTGAGAAACCTGACACATACAGACATATGAACCGAGTCTACCTTAATTGTGCATACAGCAACAATATTATCGACACTGCTAGAGATCCTCTGTGGTTGCCATCCCACCTGCCCCAACTCAGATGATACACAGCGAATGAAAAGCCCTACTTACAGTGTTGAATCTGTAGTAAATGAGATGTTTGATGTCCTTACACATTCTGATCTGTCTCATCAACTTGTACTTGTATCTGTACATTCCAGTCAATTGACCAACATGGGCAAAGATGTACTGCAGGCCATCAGCAAGCTGTATGATACAAAGTAATTTTTAATCACGTTTATTAACAGAAAGGTGTTTTAAACTTCTGGCAAAGAACCCATGGAAATCAAAACTGTTTTGCTAAACTCAACATTCTCTTTCTCACCTGAAAGCTGTCTACATTGCCTAATCTGTACTGAACATGGGAATCTACCACCAACTTAGTGAGTCGAAGGATCTCGCGACAAAGATGGAAAGCGTTTCCAAATCTTGACTTCTTTCTCTCCTTAGTCGTCAGAGTTTTGACTGGTTTCAGATTGAAGTTGTAATCCAGATGAAGATAGTTGAGGTTCTTTCTGTGAATCAGTAGGTTCAACATGTTGTAACCTTGGCGACAAACTTGAAGCCCAACCTCCACCCAGTCAAGAGTGGTAGTTTGAAAGAACTTGGTGGCTTTAAAAGATCGGAACAAATATCTGAAACAAGAAATACCACAACAGTTTGTTTTACAGTAAATGAAATAAAGACAAACACAATTTTGCAGTTATGTACGAACCTAAGCAGTTGTAAAGATAAGCTTGCAAAAAAAAAAAACTGAAGTTTCAATAGGACTCCAGTCAGTGACATCACCCTCAATAGATGAGTTTCCTTAATTTCATCACTCCTTACAGTACCGCTCAAAAGTAAGTTACCACCTCTCGTCTCGTTTCTCGCGAGACGAGTCTCGTTTCTCTCGAGACGTTTCTTGTTTCTCGCGAGCTGCGTCTCGTTTCTCTCGAGAATCACTGAAGCGTTTAGTATGGCGTATATTACGCGTAAGAAACCGGTTACGGGTAACGATTACCG